GTACTCACCACGTCCAAGGCCATCCCAGTGCAGGTGGATGGTGAGCCCTGCAAGCTCTCAGCCTCGCGCATTCGCATCGCCCTGCGCAACCAGGCCACTATGGTGCAGAAGGCCAAGCGGCGGAGCACCGCCCCCCTGCACAGCGAGTATGTTCCCCTCCCAGCCACCACCAGACGCTGCCCCTCTCTCGAGCCTCAGTTTCCCCAGCTGGAGAAGGGGCTACCAGTTGCCCTGTCCCGGGAAAGCGAGGCAGGGCCCCTCGGTCTGGCGCCCGGCCGAGGATCCTTCCCGAGTGCTCTCTTACCACCTGTGCCTCAGCCAGCAGCCCGTGCCTGAGCAGCTGCGGATCCAGGTGAGCAGGGTCAGCATGCACGACTACGAGGCCCTGCACTACGACAAGGAGCAGCTCAAGGAGGCCTGTGAGTGGCAAGCGGGGCGGGGGGGGGGGGGGTTGGGTGGCAAGGAGCTGCTGGGGGCCCTGAGGGCCAGGCAGGGGGGTACGGCCAGCCGCTGACAGCCTGCTCTGCCCACCAGCCGTGCCACTGGGCACCGTGGTGGTCCCCGGAGACAGCGACCTGGAGCTCTGCCGTGCCCACATCGAGAGGCTCCAGCAGGTGAGGGGGTCGGGAGCCTGCCCCGTGTGGGCCCACCCGCTCTAGTTTCTCTTCTCTGCCAACTCTCGGCCTTTGCTTCTCTTGGCAGGAGCCCGAAGGTGCTGGAGCCAAGTCCCCCACCTCCCAGAAACTGTCCCCTAAGTGGTGCTTCCTAGATGGTGAGTGGCCCCAAAGGACCAGCTCCTGGTGTCCCCGGGCTGTGTCCTGCCCCCTCCCGCAGGGCTCCCGGTGGGGCAGCGACTATCTGGGCCTGTATAAGGGCCTCCTGCCGCCTCAGACAGCTCTCTGCCCCCCTCACAGCCACCACTGCCAGCCGCTTCTACAGGATCGACCGGGCCCAGGTGAGCACCACCCCGGGGCCCCTCTGCCTTTGGCCCGCACCTCCAGATGGGCTTGCCCCTCGGCCTGCTGGGTGGTGCCGGCACACCTGCCTGTGCTCGCAGATGGGGGGTAGGCACGCTGCCCACAGGCAGAGGGAGCTGGCGGGTGCCCAGAAAAGTGTCCGGTGAGCCACAGGGGTGAAGGCACTTCTGGCCAGGTGCGGGGTGCCCCGGGCAAAGGCTCAGCAGTGGGAAGGAGCTGGGAGGGCAGCAGGGAGGGAGACTGGCAGGGCCCCCTCACGGAGGTTCCGCCTGCCGGAGGCTTCTCCGGGCCTGCGGGCCTGGCTGCATCTGTACTCCCACCGTCGGCTACCCTGGAAGGTTCCTGACTCCTGGCCCCTGACCTCCCCACCCACAGGAACACCTCAACTATGTGACTGAGATCGCACAGGACGAGATTTATATCTTGGACCCTGAGCTGCTGGGGGCATCAGCCCGGCCTGACCTCCCAACCCCCACTTCCCCTCTCCCCACCTCCCCCTGCTCACCCACGCTCCGGTGAGTCCTGCGTCTCCTCCAGTCCCCTGGCTCGAAACCCCGCCTACAAGCTGGTACCTCCTGACGTCCTGCCTTCAGCGCCAAACGCGTGTCCACTGTCCAGCTGGCTGCCGGGTCCCCACAGGCCCCTCCCTGGCTGAGTCACTGGCAGAGAACCAAACCTGGCCAAAACCCAACTGACCAGCCCTTTGCCGCCCCCCCGCCCCGGGGGCAGTGGTGTCGCCATCCACCCTGCTGCTCTGGCCTGAGACCCGGGCTCCCCCTCTGACCTCTCCTCTGCAGTCCTGTCCGCTGTCCCCCAACATCTGAGCACGGCAGCCTGAGCCGGGGCCTCCGAGCTCCCCTCCGTCCGCACTGCCCAGTGCCGTGCCCTTCCCGGCCCTTCGCGGCCCCCAGTGTGCCCGCCTCAGGACTGTCCCCGGTCCTCCCCGAGCTCCCCGCTCCACTCACACCTCAGCTTGGGAGTTTCCTCCCCAGAGAAGTCGTCCCAGGAGCCCCGGCTGACGTTGCTGTGAGACCCCAGCACGCCGCCTTGTGTTCTTCGTAGCCCTGTCCGCTCTGAGGAGGCCTTCTTTCTTTGCTGACGGGTCTGTCTCCCTGACTAGAATGTAAGCTCCGCGAGAGCAAGCTCTCCATGTGTCTTGTTCGCTGCTGTGTCGCCGGCACCCGGCGTGGCACCTGCTGTGTAGGAGGCACTCAGTAAACTGTCGGCAGCACACAGGGCGCCCCCTGGTCGGGGCAGGGGGGTGACAGCTGTCGCTGGGTCCGTCTCATCCTGCTCTGCTTGCAGGTCACTACCAGGGGATGCGGCGCCCCCTAAAGGTGAGGCCTCTCCCTTCTCCCTGGTCCCGGTGGGGGTGGAGCCCCCCACAGCCCCCCACGGCCACAACCCGCCAGGGCCCCCGCCCTGGGCAGGCCCCCGCCTCCGCCCAGCACGTCTGCACCCACACAGGGCCGGCGCCTGCGGCCCCAGGGTGTAACGGGCAGGTGTTCCGTGCAGGTGAGGAGCTGATAGAGGCGGCCAAGAGGAACAACTTCTGTAAGGTACTAGGAGGGCTCGGCCCCCCGCCCCGCCGCCCCGAGCTCCCGCGCCCCGGGGGGCAGGGCCTCTGGGTGGGGCCCAGTTAGCCTGTCTCGTCTGGCCCTCTGCAGGGTCTCCGTGCTGACTGTCCCATTCCGCCTTGCCCCTGTCCAGCTCACAGTGTCCCTTCGTAGGGGCTTGTTGGCACAGTGTGCCTGTCCCCGGTGCTCAGAGAGGAGCAAGTCTTAGAGGAACCACAGGCCCCAGGGCCTGGTGCTCAGTGCTCCCGGGGAGCCCAGAAGCCCCGGGTCTCTGCCCTACACTTCAGAAAGACGCCCAGAGGGATGACGTGTGTGAGCACAGTAGGGTCAGGCCTGCGGCCTATGGGAGTTGGGGGACATTTCTGTGGCTGGCACGCGGGTGGCCGTGAGGAGCCCCAGCCCTGCTCTGCCTCCTGCCCTCAGCTCCAGGAGCTGCACCGAGCTGGGGGCGACCTCATGCACCGGGACGAGCAGAGCCGCACGCTCCTGCACCATGCCGTCAGCACGGGCAGCAAGGACGTGGTCCGCTACCTGCTGGACCACGGTGAGCTGGGCCACTGGGGCCCCGGGGCCAGGGCGGGAGGAGGGGAGATGGCCGGCTTCCCTGACCGCCCCCTCCCCTCTCCTCCAGCCCCCCCAGAGATCCTTGACGCTGTGGAGGAGAAGTGAGTATCTGGGCAGTGCGAGACCTTGGTCACCCTGGAAACTGCCCCGTCTTCATCTAGCCCCTCCCACTCGGCCGGTCAGAGCCTAGAAACCCTTCCAGGCCACATCCGCTCGGCCCTTGCCCCACAGCCCCGAGTTCCCTTCTGTGTCTGATAGCCCTCTGGAGACGGGACAAGAGGGCCCCGAGGACAGGATGGGGGTCCACAGCCAGTCCCTGTTTCCACAGTGGGGAGACTTGTCTGCACCAGGCGGCAGCCCTGGGCCAGCGTACCATCTGCCACTACATCGTGGAGGCGGGGGCCTCTCTCATGAAGACAGACCAGCAGGTGAGCAGACTGGCAGGGAGCCCCTTCCCCAGCGCGGGCCCTTGTGAGCGCTGAGCCATGGAGGAGAGCCACCTCTTAGGACTGGAAGCTGTCCTTCAACCCACACCCTCCGGACTCTGAGAAACCTGAGCCTGCGCTGGAGAAGGGGGTGTTGGGGCGGGTGGGCAGCCCATGACTGCCTGTCCTTTGAAGCTTTTCTTTTCCTCACCGGCCACCTGGATGGAAGGTCCCCTGCCCTCTCCTCAGGCCCCTGAAGTGATGGCAGCCCCCCCCCCCTCCAGGGCGACACTCCCCGGCAGCGGGCCGAGAAGGCTCAGGACACGGAGCTCGCCGCCTACCTGGAGAACCGGCAGCACTACCAGATGATCCAGCGGGAGGACCAAGAGACGGCCGTGTAGCAGGAGGGACAGGGCCAGCCAGGGGAGGAGCCCCCTCATCGCCCACCTCACTGCCACATTCCAGTCGGACGACCACGGGGGGACCCGTGCCCCAGGGAAGGAGCCCCGTGCTGCCCCCTGAGGAGCCGCCCAGGCCTGGGGCTGGACTCTGAGGAGCTGGGGGATCCCACCTGTCCCCCTGAGGCCCCAGCCTGACCCGGGCCTGACAGGGGAACAAGAAACTGGACTGGGCCGGGCAGGCCTTTGGGGGACTGGGGCGGGACCACCTCAGGGCCACCGTCACCGTCCCTGCGGCGGGTGCCCTCCCTAGGAGTTAGGGGGAGCGGGGGAGGGCAGCGGGGCTTGGGGCCCTTATCAGGGAGCCTTCGGGAAGAGGCTTCCTAAGCCGCCTGGGCCGCGAGGGCCCGGACTCTGAGCCTGCGGGCAGCTTGGGCCCTCTCTCCTGCCCCGACCCCACCCTCCCCGGGGCTTCCTCCCGGAAACACGGAGCCTGCTGCGTTTGCCTGCCCGCCGCCCTGCTTGGCTCCTGACCCCCCGGACCCTCCCCGTGTACCCAGTCATTTCACCACCGCCGACCGTGTGGCCTGGGGGTTGGAGTGGGGCTCTCGTGGTGACATGTTTACAGCTGGGTGTGACTCAGTAAAGTGGACTTTTTTCCTTTCTGCTCTTTTTTTCTTGCGGAGGAGGTCTTCCAGAAGCAGCGGGGTCTGGTGGTGGGGAGACTGGACACCCTGGGCCTCTACAGACCCTCTTCTGGGGGATCCTGGTTCCTGTTTGGGGGTGGGGTCTCAGGGCCTGCCCGGGACCTGACCTCGGCCTGGCGGCACGGCTCGCCGGGGCCGGGGGAGGAGCTGATTTCCTCTCGCTTCCCGCTTCCCGCAGGGACGACAACAATGAAAGTGAAAGAGAGGTGGGGCGGGGGGCGAGGCCTGGATTCTTTGGCCCCTTTGCCCTGTGGCCTTGGGCAAGCCCTCTCCCCCAGGCCCCAGTTACTTTTGCTGTTTAGGGGATCGGGTGAGGTGATCCCCGAGGCCCCAGGGTCGGAACGGGTGGGCATTTGCAGCCGCCGCCGCCTTGGCTGGGTCTGGAACTTCTCAGACGGCGCTTGTCAGCTCCCAAGCCTCACCAAATCCAGGCCTGCGGGCTCCTCCCCAACCCCCCAACTTCCTCCAGCTCCCGCCCCCGAAAACCTGCGCTCCTGAAAGGCGCGGCGCCGTCCGCGTCCCCCGAGCCCGAGCGCTTTCTCTGGGGCTCCCCGAGCACCGAGCAGAGCGGCTCCCTGTACACTTGGTGAAGCGACCCGAGGTGGGGGCTGGCGCTCCTTCCCCAGCAGCTAAGGGGGCGCAGAGGGCCGGTCCTCGACGGGGTTAAACAGTCATCGGGGGACGGAGCCGCACACAGGCTGGAATGCGGGCCCCGCGCCGAGCGCCGGGACCCGTGACACCCCCGGGGCTCCGAGCTCCCTCCCAAGTCCCCATCCTCCCAGTCTTCCCTCCCCGGGAAGGAAGGCGGGCGTCCTGCGGGGAAAGAGAACGGCCCCGGGGAGGGGGCAGAGGCGGCGGCGGAAAGCTGGGGCTGGGGCAGGGGCCGGGGGAGCCAGGGCAGGACAGGGTCCTGGGGCCGGGAGACCCGGGCTCGGGAGCTGGGGCGGGGGGAGCCGGCAGAGCCCGTCGTCTGAACGCGGACGGCCCGGGCGGGGCGAACGGGGGGTGCGGGGACCCGCGGCGGGAAGCCGGGGTAGGAGCGCCCGGGGGCGCGGGGCGGGAGCGGAGGCGGGGACGCCGGGGTCGGGGGGCGGCGCGGGTTTGAGGGGAGGGGGCGGGGCGGGCCCTTCCTCGGTGGGGGTGGGGGGCGGGGAGGGGGCGGGGGCCCATGTGACCGGTTCAGACCGGTTCTGGAGACAAAAGGGGCCGCGGCGGCCGGAGCGGGACGGGCCCGGCGCGGGAGGGAGCGCAGCACGGCGGGCAGCGAGCGAGTGAGCGCGCGGGGGCCCCGGCCGACGTGCGGCGGCGGCCTCGGCCCCTCGCCCGCTGGGCCCCAGGCGACCCGGAGCCCGGAGGCGTGTGGGGGTCTGAGCTGCGTCCTGGGCTCCAGGCCGCCCCCAGGGAGACGCCTGCGGCTGTGCGCCCCGGCTAGCGGCGAGGGGCCGACCCCAGAGCCCTCCAGCCGCCGCCGCCGCCGCCGCGGCCCGTGGGCCTGGAGCGCGGGGACGGGGGTGGGAGGTGCGCGCGTGCGGCCCCCCGTGGGGAAGGGGGCGGGCGGGGGCCTCTGACCCGACCTCTCCTCCGCAGGATGCAGCACCGAGGCGTCCTCCTCCTCGCCCTCCTCACCCTGCTGGCGCTCACCTCCGCGGTGGCCAAAAAGAAAGGTGATACGGGGTGTGGGGGACTGGAGGAGGGCTGGAGACGGGCCGGTGAGGCCGGCAGCCTCGGGCCTGGCCGCCGGGGTTCCGAGGCCCGGACCCCAGGAAGCGATCCCCGAGTATGTCTGAGCTCCGTTCCCCGTGCGTCTTAGACAAAGTGAAGAAGGGCGGCCCGGGGAGCGAGTGCGCGGAGTGGACCTGGGGGCCCTGCACCCCCAGCAGCAAGGACTGCGGCGTGGGTTTCCGCGAGGGTACCTGTGGGGCCCAGACTCAGCGCATCCGGTGCAGGGTGCCTTGCAACTGGAAGAAGGAGTTTGGAGGTGAGGTGGGGTGCAGGCGGAGGGCAGGAGAGGGGACGGGCCCAGCCTCACCGAAACCTGGGCAGGTCTGTGGCCTCCAGCCACTGGCTGCCCAGATCTGACCCGGGGCGCTCTCCCGCCAGCCGACTGCAAGTACAAGTTTGAGAGCTGGGGGGCGTGTGATGGGGGCACGGGCACCAAAGCCCGCCAAGGCACCCTGAAGAAGGCGCGGTACAATGCCCAGTGCCAGGAGACCATCCGCGTGACCAAGCCCTGCACCTCCAAGACCAAAGCCAAAGCCAAAGGTCAGGGAAGTGGAGGAGGGTGTGGGGGTCATTGCCGGGGGCTGCCACCACCTGTGAAAGGGAATGGTTAAGCCTGAGGTTTTGGATGTGGCGGGTGACTTCCTGACATCTCTGCCCTCGGTTTTTCCTGTCTGTAGAGATACCTTAGGTGGGCAGGTACTGAGGGTGGCCCACAGAAGGTGCTCAGGAGTTATTAAGTCCTTCTGGCCCGAGTGGAAGAACAAACTCGCTCTGTTCTGTTGGAGCATTTTGCTTAGGATTCAGGGAGTTGTCCTGGAAGGGCTTCGCTTTGTCATCTCTCCAGCCAGAGGGAACATTTGGTCAGCCTGGGTCCTTTCTAGTATCAGAAGGACTTCACGGTCCTGCCATCCCTTAGCTGGTTCCTGATTCACAGCAGCCCAGAGAGGCCATCAGGGCAGAGGTGAATCAGCCCACTTGTTAGGGGAGGAGGTGGAGGCTGAGGGCTGTGGGGACCAAGAACTTGAAGATTTTCCGAAGATTTTCTGAGCACCAGTGAAAGTATAGAAGTTGGTGTGGGGGTAGGTCCAGCATCAATATGGCTGCGCTCTCCCACGGGGTACCGGGGTCCGCTGATCTACAGCCACTAGGGGGCAGAATTTTCTCCCTAATGTATAGGCTGGGGGGGGGGGGGCGGTGTCTCTACTAGGTCACCTGAACTCAGCTAACACGTTGTTTCTTGCTTGTTTTACAGCCAAGAAAGGGAAGGGAAAGGACTAGCCGCCAGGTCTGGATGCCAAGGAGCCCGGGGCCCGTGCCCTCCCTCTCACAGGCCCAAGAGCTCACCTACCAGTGCCTTTTGTCTACTCGTTAGCTTTCTCAATCATACCCTGCTTCTTCCCTTTCATTCCTCCACCCCCCACCCCCAAGTGTCCGGGAGGGACAGGGGACTGTGGACAGCTTGAGCCTCCTGCCCCAGAGGGATGTGAATCCCGGTACCCGCTTTTGTTCTTCCCCACAAAGATGCCATTACTGAGAAATAAATAAACCGTTGTGTTTTTGTTTTTTTGTTTCTTCCCAATAAAAGCTTTTCCTTTAATATATAAAAGCCCCAACCCAGGGAGTTTGCTGTGGTAATTTGTTGGGGCAGGGACTCGTGAAGGAAAGGGAAGGCAGTTGGGACTGGCTTTTAGGGGGCTGGGGGCTTGGCGGTGAGTGCTCCCCAGAGCTCATTGAAAAAGCAGAGTGGTTATGAAAATTGCTTCCAGGGCCCCGACTCCTGAAAGGGTGCCGCCGTCCAGTCCCCTGAGCCTTTCAGTCTGGTCTTCCCAGGGACCACACCAAGGCTGGGAGGGAACCCAGAAGGCTCCCTAGAACTGACACTCATCGCAGCCACTCTCAAGCAAAGGTCTTTTGGTATAGCTCACTACCAATAGAAGGTTCTGTCCGTTGGGAGAGGAGAGATGGGGGCTGCTTGCCTGCCTTCCCCCCTGCCCCCCCCCCACTGAAGCCTGTGTGGGTCAAGTCTGTCCCCATTCTCCCCAGCCACCCAGGCCTCCCTCACATGCTGCAGAAGCCTGCTGGGAGAGCTCTTCAGAACCAGGGGGGCCTCTCTGCTCAGCGTGGGACCACAGGAAGCCAGACCTCGGTTCCTGAGTGTGAGACACTGACCTCCCAGCTGCCCCAGGACAGTGTGTGGGGGGGTGGCCTGAGAGCCCACAACGGCCTGGCCTCCAGCTAGCCCACCCGTCCACCCAACCAGCGCCTGGCCGAGTAGCTGCAGCAAGGGGCGAGCTCTGCCCCTGGAATGGGACCTGGGAGGACGGGCTGGGCCTACATGCGGGGTGCAGCGGGGAGCAAGCACCAACTACAGCAGAACGGGGAGACCCTTCCCAAGCCTCCTCTCCCAAGCATCGGCTCCTTTGCTCTTCCCAAGGGGATCCCGGGCTTCTGCTCCCCTCCAGATGTCCATTCTTCCAGCCACGCTGGTTGGTCACAATGGGGCAGTGCCCCAGAATCCAGCGCCTCCCAGCTCCCGGAGGCGGGCCGGGCAGTCCTGGTTCAGGCGCTTCTGGGGCTGAGCCTCCGCAGCCCGAGCGGAGACCTGGTCTCTCGGAATCCCGCCACAGCTTCTTCCTGAGCCTCACAGGGGTCCTGGGCACCTCAGTCCTCGTCGGGGAACAGGAACTCGGGGGGACGCTTCCAGAGCGCTCCCCGGCAGCCACGTGCGGGACCACCCACGTGACCGCCCACGTGGCTCCGCGCGCGCACGTGGCCGCCAGCACCTCCTGGGCGCCCCTGCCCGCCTACCTGGCGGTGCCGAGGTTCCGATACTGGCACAGCAGCAGGTGCCTGAAGGTCTTTTTAAAGGTGGCGTTGCAGAGCGCGTAGCAGGCGGGGTTGATGGTGCTGTTGACGTAGCAGAGCCAGTAGCCGATGGACCACACCGTGTCGGGGATGCAGCTCCGGCAGAAGGTGTTCACCAGGACCATGACGTTGTAGGGCGTCCAGGTGAGGATGAAGGCCAGCAGAATGGCGAAGATGGTCCGCGTCACCTTGCGCTCCCGGGCCGCCATCTGCCGCTTCTTGCGCACCTGGTTGCGGGCGATGCTGGCAAACTTGCGGGCCACGTTGGCTGCCGGGCGCATGCCGGCGGGCGTGGCCGGGACGATCTCGATGGCTGTCACACACTCATTGCCAGTCTGCTTCGTCACGATCTGGATCTTGGACCATTTGGAGGCGGGGTTGAGGGCCCGCGGCTGGAGGGGAGGGGCGGGCAAGGCGGGCGTGGTGGCCTCCGTGGTGGACAGCTCCGTGGGCGGCCGCTCCTTGGTGTGGTGTGTGGCGCTGCCGGAGCTGGACTCGTTGGAAGTGTCCTTGTCGGCCACGGGGCGCGGCGGGGGCGGCAGGACCGGGGGAGGGGCCTCCTCCAGCTTCCCGTTGCGCAGCTCCTCGGGAGCCGGGTCCCCGGGCGGGGCTTTCTTGATGCTCTGCTTCATCAGGGGGCTCTTGAGGAAGGCCAGAGTCTTGGCCTTCTTCTCCTTGGGGCCCTCGGGCCGGTGCTTGTGAACTCGGCTGCGACTGGCCAGGGAGATGTGGATGTAGAGCACCGTCATGATGACCACGGGCAGGTAGAAGGCGGCGATGGCGGTGCCGAAGGTCACCGCCGGGTTGGACAGGAACTGGATGAAGCACTGGTTGTCCGGCACCGTCCGCTTGCCCACCACGAACTGCCAGAACAAGATGGCAGGTGCCCAGAGCACGAAGGACAGGACCCAGGCGGCGGCGATCATGAGGCCCGCCATCTTGGTGGTGCGCCGGGCTGGGTAGGTGAGGGGCTTGGTGACGCAGAAGTACCTGTCGAAGCTGATAATGAGAAGGTTCATGACGGAAGCATTGCTCACCACATAGTCCAGGGCCAGCCACAGGTCACAGACCACGGCGCCCAGAGGCCAGTAGCCCTTGATGATGTACACGGTGTAGAGGTTCATGGAGAAAGCGCCTATGATGAGATCGGCGCACGCCAGGCTGAAGAGGAAGTAGTTGTTGACTGTTTGCAGCTGCCTGTTGACCTTGATAGACAGCATCACCAGGATGTTGCCCACGACAGTCACCAGGCTCAACGAGCCCGTCACCGTGGCGATGAATATCATCTCCACTGTCTCGTAGCGGTTATGGGTTGATGTGACCAGGCGCACCGACTGGTTGCCCGCGCTGCCGTTGACGGGTGTGAAGTTCGCCATTTTGGTTAGCAGTGGTGGGCGGCCAGTGTCTGGAGGAGGAAGGAGAGAGGAAAGGGTGAACTGGCGAAGTGGTTTAGAGAGGTAACTCGAGGTGACAGAGGAACATCACCCTGCAGAGCCTTGGAGAACTCTGTCGCATCGTGTGCTCGTTTCTTCACCCATCCGTTGCGTATTGAGGGCCTACGTGTGCAAGCACCGTTCCGGGTGCAGGAGTTACAGAAGGGATGGAGACACACACGGGGCCCCACCCTCACAGAGCTGACAATCTGATCAGGGCAGACAGACAAACATGCGAGCCGCAAAAAGAGTGCTAGAAGGAGAACAAGGCAGGGCAACAGTACAGTGGGTGAGTCAGAGGACAGACAGGGACGCTTCCTTGCTGGGTGATCAGTGAAGGCCTCTCCAAGGAGGGGATCTGGACAATGGCAAGGAGGCAGCCATGTGAAGAGCTGCAGAGGTGGCTTAGTCGGGGGCAATGGCCAGAGCAAAGGCCCTGGGGCACGTGTGGGGCGCCAAGAGAAGGCCAGGGCGTGCGGGGCCCAGAGAAGCAATGGGGAGGGGCTTCAGTGGTCCCAGAGTCAGCATGTAGCTCTGGCCAGAAGTGTTCATTCATTCACCTCGTCAGTCATTTTGTGACCAAACATCACAGGGGGACCTGTCCTCCACCCTCCCAGATGGCACTGGGGACACAGGCAAGAATATATGTTAGCAGCTAACACTTACTGTCTACTAAGCGTCCGGCACTTTCTGTACTTTTTATCAATATTAGCTAATGTCTTCCTCACGTCAGGTCTGTGAAGTAGAAACCTTTATTTTTCACCACTTCCAGGTGAGGAAACTGAGGCACAGAGATGTTAAATAACCCGCCCAAGTTTCCACGAGTCCTTGACGTCCTGCTGCCACCCCAGAGCTGAGGGTGCTGGCAGCCGAGGCCCAAAGCGCCACCGAGCCAGTGCTACCACCTTGGGGCAGGCTCCTGGGATGACCGGGGTGGCCTGGAGTGGGGAACCCCCGAGGACGAGGAGCGTGCCATGCAGAGGGGTCTGGGAGGTGCATACCACTGCGGCAGCCCCTCCCCGAGCTCCCCCTCCCAGCCCCAGGGCGGAGGGGTGGGGACACAGTGCAGGGGCAGTAGGGACCATCCACAGCCAGGGGCTGAGTGAGGACCAGGAGGAGTGAGAAGCTGAGAGGGCCTGTCAGCCGAGGAAAGACACACATGGCTTCCAAGGGGCCGGGGCCAGCCCTGGGCCCGACTGGGAACCCAAAGGGGACCCAGAGTGTCCCAGAGGGAAGAGGGCAGGGGAATGTCGCAGGGGGGCCCGCGGCCAGCCCGAGGGCACCGTCCCCCCGGCCCACCCACACGGCCCCTCCCCTGAGCCTGCACCCCCCTCCCACCCAGGTTCCTCTTCATCTCTCCCCCGCCTTCCTCTCCCATACACGTGAGCGAGGCCCACGCCCAGTGCGCTGTGCCAGGGCAGCCGTTCAGCCCAGCCTCCTTCACACCCGCCAACACGCGCACCATTACACACACGCACACGGGCCCCATCCCAGCCCCGCCAGCCCCGCGCTGTCGTATACACAGTGTCTGTGTGTGAGAGAGAGAAAGAGAGAGGGAGAGCCAGCCGGTGTGGAGGAAGGAGCCCTCAGCCAGCAGCCCAGGCCCCAAGGCCAGCAGGGTCCTGGCTCTAGACCAGCCACCTCACCTTCCCGCCCCTCTCTTTCTCATTTGCAAAAGAGAGAGGACTGGGTCCGCGGGACCCCTCCCGAGCAGCTATGGGGACCAGCAACTAAACTTTCCATCTGCAGCATGAAAATGCACCAGAGGCTGGAGGCAAGTGCCAGGGTGACCACCCTCTGCCCCACGCCCGGCCTCAGACCCTCTCACTCGCCTCTGCAGACGCAGCCCCAGCCCCCTGGCCTGGCAGTTCATGTTCGCCTGTCCAAATCCTTGGTTCTCAGGAGGGGAGGCTCAACAAGGGCTTTGCCATCTCCAAGGTCACACATGAGTCAAGGGCAAAGACTAAATACCACCCTCTCTGGGGTCTCTGGCAGCCCCCTTTCAGCTTTGAGAGGTGTCACCCTCTGAGCTGGGAGAGCAGAAGCACCCAGCATGAAGAGGCTACCCTCCCCAGGCAGGTGCAAGCAGGGGCAGGGTGGGCAGGACGGATCTGTCCGCCAGCACCCAGGAAAGCCCTGTGAGCCTCCGGGGCCAGGACACAGGCCAGCGAGATGGGAATGGGACTGGAGGTGCCAAATATGAAAAACATAATAGCCCTTGTTTATTGTTAACTAGGAGTCAGGAATTCCTCTGAGCTTTTTAATATAGATTATCTGGTTTAATCCTTACAGAAGCCTGAGAAGGCAGGTACTATTCGTATTCCCATCTCACTGATAGAAGTATCTTCTTACAGATGAGGATAATATTAATTAACTTGCCCAAAGTCATCCGGTTTGTAATGCGGGGGGGGGGGGGGGCGCAGGATTCGAACCCAGGAGCCACCTTCTCAACCTCAACCTGTCTCAGGTTGATTTCCTGCCTCTGCTGTCCACTGCTCAAAACCAAAGAACTAAGGGTCCCCACCCACTCCCTGCCAGCTCCCCCACTTAGCTTTCCCAGGAGAGAAGAGGCCTCTTATCTCCATGGGGGACATCTTGTCTCCAAGGAGGTGACAGGTGGTTTAGTTCCGCTCTGGGTCTGCTAGGGGAAGCTGCCAGCAGCAGAAGGGGTGAGGCATGGTGTCTCGCCGCCTCCTCCCCACCCTCTTTCTGGACCCCTCGGGTTTCCCTGCAGACATTCTGACAGCAACCCTCTCTGGGGCTTTCTCTGCGATCCAGGCCCACCGGAGATCTGGGGAAGCAAGCAGTCGCTGCCCAGGGCTGTGCGCACCGCTAGATGGCAATGTCGAGCCCTGGGTGCCAGCTCCGGACTTTGGGCGGGCGGCTCTTCGCCACCGCCCCCAACTCCATCGCGACCGAGAACACAGAGGAGGCTCCAGGGCAGGGCCTCCCAGGGGAAGGACGTGGTTTCCCTCCCACCCCCACCCCCTTGCCAGGCCCTGCCCAGGAGCTGCCCTCGGCTCCGCGCGGGTTCCATGGTGGGAAAGTTAAGGGCGCCCGGCTTCCACCCGGCCCCGCGGAGGAACGTGTGGGCGGGAAGGCGAGTGCGAGTTCTGTTTGTGTGTGATTACTGGGGAGCGCGAGTACAAGCGAGTAGCTGTCTGCATGTGCGTGTGTGCGCGCTCGGCCACGCCTGGATACCGGGGGCCCGTGTGCGCGTGAGCGGGCCCGTGCCATGTGGACACGTGCTTGTGCGTGCGTGTGCGGCCCGGGGTGCTGTGGCCTGGGGGATGCACACGATTCGGGTATGCAAATGCATATGCACAACTGTGAGTATGCACAAACTGTGAGTTTGTGCACAGGAGCAAATGCAGGGCCCGCAGGAGGTGACCGCTCCGGGCCCTGCCGGGAGACTCAGCTCAGACTTTGGCTGTCTGAGCGCAGAGAAGCGAGTCTAGAGACAGTGTCTGGATCGTGCCCCGCTCATGGGTGGGGAAGGGTCGCGGCCAGGCTACAATCTGGGCTGCCACGGGCCCCCTGACCTTGGGGCATCGTCTCAGGCAGCGCCCAGTGGTGTCTGGGTCCCCAACGCTGCAGTGTGGAGTCCCAGCCTGGAACTGACTTCTGTCGAGGGGCCGCGGCCGGAGTCGCCCCACTGGCCTTACAGGACACGGGGTTCAGCTCAGCGTGCCCACGGAGCATTATGGCCAAAGGGTGCCCGGTCTGCCCGCGGGAGTGTACCGGCAACACTCCAAAACGGGGAGGCCCAGCCGCGGCTTAGGTCAGTTGAGTGTAAGATTCTTCCCCACCCACACTTCTAACCCTGCACCCCGCAGGAGAGGCACCGTCTGGCCCGAGCGGCTAGAGTGGGCACCGGTTTCTCGAGCCCTGAGCCAGGGCGGACCTCGAGGGCCGGGTTGGGAGTTATTATTGGGCTCATCTGGAGGCTCCTCCAGGTCTCCTTCCCGGTTGATGGGGCCCTGGCTCTCCGGTGCCCCGCCCTCCCCCCAACCCCCTAGCACGCAGTTCCTGCGGCCTCTGGGCGTGGGCACCGTGCTTTCCCGGGTTCTGGAGGCCCCCCCCCCTTTTCCGGACGAGAAGGGAGCGCGTGCTCTGGACGCCGTGGGGAGGGGGTTGGGGTGTGGGTCCTTGGTTCTTAGGCATTCACTCTAGGGCTCCGGGAAGGCTGTGGCCCCTGGATCCGTCCCTGGGGCGGGAGAAGAGACTCAAGAGTTCACAGGAGGGAGAAGGGGCTCAGGGGATTTGGCAAAGACATTGCGCCTGACACTTCCGCCACTGGGCCCAGGGCTTGGCTCCGCTCTCCCGGGCTCCGAGCCTGGGCAACAGCAGGGGGTAGTCCTGGAGTGGGGGAAGGGCGCCAGGAGCGGGTAGGGGTATTTCCGTCGGGGTTCAAGGTCGCGGATGGAGGACTTCATGGATCGGAATGGGCTGGTAGCGCGGGGGGTGGGGGGCGGGGAGACGGGCGGGAAAAAGGCTCCTTAGGGCTCCAGAGCCTGGTGCCCTCCAGAGCTGCAGGTGGGAGGGCTGGAGTGCGGGGTCCCGCCCCCGACGGCTGCCCCTGGCGCCCTGAGGGCTGTGGGCGGGCAACCCTCCCCCGACCTCCTGAATGTCCATTCCTTCCCAGAGGCGCACCTGGAGAAGCTTCCGAGACTCCGTGTCTTTCTTCCAGCGGGGCCCCTCACCCCCGGGCTCTGTGCAGCCCCCAGCACCGCGCTCGTCCCCAAAGGAGCCTGGGGCCCCGTCCCAATGGGACCCGCCTCCGGGGAACCTCAGAGGGTCCGGGAGCCCCACGTCCTTCTACCGCAACCGAGTCCCCCCCGCCCCCGCGCCGCCGCGGAGTCACTTACCAGACACCTCCGCCCCGGTCCCCTCGCACCTGACAGACGGCGGGACCAGCGGGCGGCCCGCGGGCCAGCGGGCGGGGCGCGTGGCCGGGCCGCGGGCCGGGGGCGGGGACGGGGTGCCGAGGGGCGGCCCCTGCTCCGCCCGCAGCTCCTGGCGCTGTGGCTTCGACTCGCGCTCACGCTCGCACTTTTCCCCGAGCCGCGTGATGTCACGGGGAAGCAGCCAATCCTGGTGGGGCCGCGCCGCCCGCCCCGGGCCGGCCACCCAACTGCGACGCGCGGGGGGCACCACCCGGGGCATCGGGAACCCCAGCTACGCGCGCCCCTCACTGGAGCCGGCCGACAGCTCCGCGCTCGGCCACTGTAGGGGCACCGCCCACGGTTGACAGTACGGCTTAGCGGGGGGCGCTGCCCTCTCGGGAGGCTGGGGTGGGGGGTGGGGTGGGGTGTCCGCGTTGTCATGGGGACGCGGCGCCCCCTCGCGGGCTGGGGAGGGAGCTGGCAGCCCCGTCTGGCTGCGCTCTCCGCCTCCGCTCTGACCAAGCACCCGGGACCTGGAGGTGGTCTCGCGCCCCTCCTGGACCACCCTCCCTACAGGGCCCCGCTCACAGTGGGACCTCGGAGGCGCGAGTGTTTGACCCCAGCAAGAGGTTACGGGTGGGTGGGGTCGGCTCAGCCGTCACGGTTCCGTCGGGGCAGAGAGCCGAGGACCGGCAGTTTCCAGCCTCAGGGCCGCATGTCGGCCGCCGGGCTATCAGAGAAGACGGGCGCCGTCGGGGCCTAGAAAGGAGCTGGAGAGAGAAGACAGGCAACAGTCCGCCAGGGAGAGAGGAGCCCGCCCATCGCACACAACCCCTGCCCGGCCCCCCACCCCCGCCGCCCGGCTCCCGGCTCCCGCGCTGCAGGCCGGGGAAGGGGTGCGCATCCTCTCTCCAAGCCCCGGGATGGGACGCGCCGCCTAGCTAGCCGCGGCCGGAGGGCGAGTTCACCGATGCCTGTGAGGGAAAGCTGAGTGCCCAAGGTCACCCGGGGCGGAGCCCGGAACGAGACCCCAGAGGGCGAGCGGTCTCTTGAGGTCTCCGGGAACCGCACGGGTCGGGGCCTGGGGACTTGGGGCCTTGCCTGTGAGGAGCGGGAGGGCCCGAGAGTCCGCGGCTGGGGCGTCCGCGGGACCGAGTCGGGTGGCTTCAGCACCTTGGAGAGCTCCGCCTCGACACTGACCTTGTAGGCTCCGCTCCGCGCTCCAAGGCAGCCGCGTTTCTGCCTCCATCTGACACGACCCTTCCTGGGGCCAGCCAGGGTCGGACTCATCCCTCCCCCCACCACGCCCAGGTCCTGAGCCTTGTCACCCCAAACTCTTTGAGCGCAAACACCCGATTAACCTTAAGACCGCCGGTTCCTTCTCTTGGAAAAACAACTCAGGTCCCGCCCCTCCACCCTCCCGCAGGACCGGGCGGGGGGCTGTGAGGGGGGCGGTGGAGGCGGGTAAGGCAGTGGAGGGGAGGCGGCAGGAGCTGCCAGAGAAGGGGCGGGAATTGGGGTAAGAGCCAGCGCTGCGGGTCTTTTGGTGTGGAGTTCCCCACGCTGACTGAGGAAGAGGTCCTCGGGTGCTCCCCAGGGCAGTTGGAATTGGCTGTTTAGGCTTAGAGTGAAAAGCCATCGTCCTTTATGTGAATGATCCGGTCTCCCATGAGCCTCATAACCAAGGACGAGAGAAGATATTGTTCTTGCCCCCACTTCACAGATGAAGAAAGGGGCTCAGTTGGTTCATATGACAATCAGATAACAGTCCTGCCCTTGTTCCACTTTGCCATAAATCCAGGAGAGGGTGGTGCTCCTAGGAAGGTGGAATTGTGGGGTGTGTGTGTGTGTAATGGGGAGAGGGGGGCGGCCAGATACTTACAAAGTCACACAGGAAACAAGCCAGGCCAAGGACTGGAGGCCACAGAAATCAGAAATGTCTCCAACCACTGCCTTGAGTTCTTCCAGAAACTGTCAGGCAAGGTTGCTCCAGTTTTCCTGAAACCCTTACCATGTGGTAGGGTTGGCCACTCCAATCCCAGACCCAATAGTGGAACTGTGGAGAGCTGAGTTGGGAACCGGGGTACCTGGTTTTGTGTTTGCTCTCTGCCTTTGACTCAACTGGGTTCATAGACAACTTGGGTCTATAGAACTCCTCTGAACCGAATTCCTCATCTCCAAACGGGATTGCCAAGCTCTGCCCTGCTGACCCCACAACCTTGTTATGACAGGCAAGGGGCCCTGAGGCTTTACTACTGGTAGGGGAGCTTCCATCCACCAGGCAAGGGCTTTCTAAAGAAGGGAAGGGGTTGATGTGGAAACACAAGTTTGACAGGTAGCTGCTGGGTTCACCCTTGGCTAGACAGGGCACAGGCAAGGCAGGCAGGACCAAATTTGGATCCTCTCATCCACAAGGCATCTTCATACCCCGTTTTCCAAAATAACAGAGCAAGTCGGGTTCTCATCTGGGTTCAAACTCTGGCTCAGTTAGTTGTGTGGTCTGGGGCGGGGGGTGGGGGGATAGTACCAGTACCTATCTGGGAGGGCTTCTGTGATGAGGATCGAGATAGTACACATTGAGTCCTTGGCACGTGGTTTATACTCAACAAATTCATAGTCCATACTGTCAGACCAAGGAATTCCTCTCCTGGGGGGTTGTGGGATGGGAGTGCGTGGGTGGAGGGCAGGGATTGCAGTGGGGCAATCCTTCGGTCCTTCAATGAGTAGTTCAAATCCTACCTCTTCTAAGAAGCCTGGCCCTAACCACTCCAGTGCTGACCTAGAATGACTCGAAATTATAGAGTTCCAAGTAACTGTAAGAGGTTACATAATACAAGCCCTGTATCCTACTACAAGGGAAGAAAGTGGAGCAGAGAAAAGGCAGGTGGCTTGCCCAAGGTCACACAGCTGGTTGATGTGTCTTTTAGTCCAGAACCCACTCTTCTGTGGGTTCTGGACTAAAATGTTCTAGAAAATTCTAGCGTTCGTAACTGTAATAGCTCTACACACTGTTTTGTATTACTTGCTTGCCCATTTAATCTTTTGGTTTTGTCTCTGTTGGTACAGTAATTCTACAAGTCCCAGAGGATGTGGGACAGAGTCGGGCACACAAGAGATAGTCAAGAAATAGATGATGCTGGGGCACCTGTGTGGCTCAGTAGGTTGAGCATCTGCCTTTGGTTCAGGTCATGATCCCAGGGTCCTGGAATCAGCAGGGAGCCTGCTTCTCCCTCTCCCTCTGCCCCCCTCCCCAACTCATGCTTGCTCTCTAATAAATAAAATCTTTTAAAAAAGAAGAAAGAAATAGTTGTTGCTGGCAAAAATCCCTGGGGTGGCTCTGTTTTCCTTGTACCCTTCTGTAAGAGTTGGGGCAAGTATCGTCCCACGTTCTAACTGGCTTGAAACTCAAAGTGGCCAAGGCCCACAATTACGGCAGGCCCTTCAGCCACTCTGCTAAGGACAAAAAGTAAAGGGGAACCTGAGCAGCCACAAATGGCATCTTAGAGGGATGCCTGTAGACAAGACCAAGTTCCCTGCCTGGCCAGCCCAGACACCCATGATAGGTGGTTTCCGGGGACCAGAGAGGATCCAGCAGCTTTTTGGCCAGTCCCAGTCACATCTTCATTCCAGACCCACAGTCCTGGGTAGGAAGCAATCAGGACGGGTGACTTTCCATCATTCTTACCTACCCACCTGTCACTGTTAAGGCTGCCCCAATCCTTAGCAGGCCCGGGGGAAGCAGGAGGTGGTGAGGCACAGAGACCCAGCACATGTGGCAGCCCGTACCTGACTGGCTTCTTCTTCTGAGGTGACAGGGCTCCCCACATAGGACAGCAGCACCAGACACAGTGCCTGACAGAACCCAGGCCCGCTTAGTTCAATGACGCCCCTCCCCCACCCGCACCCCCAACACCACCCCCTCCTTCATCCTCCATGGAAACAAACAGAGAGGAGCCTGGTGAGGGGCATGTCATCATTTTAATGATGTAGATCTTTGGTGTTTCCCTCATTAGCAGTCAGACTATCCCCTCTCCTCCCACCACAATGTTTCTATGATGAGTTACAAACAGAAAAGAAATCACATTTTCATACTAAAAACAAAATAATCAGAGCCTTGATTTCTCCACTAGAAACTACACGTACAGTTCAAGATTCCACATGCAACACCTTAAGTCACAGACCGAGACCTCACACTCTGACCTGGAGTCTCATCCCCTCCCCCAGCCTGGGTCTGGCTTTGGCCTGGGCTCATGTAATACTGCCACCCACAGGTGCTGCTCTGAGGGCTGGGGAGGGGGCAGGGGGAGAGGAGCTTGGTGGACAAGCCCCGGGGGCTGGCCAGCCTACACCCCCCACTCCTGAGTGAGGACCTGCCCACCGTCCCTTGACCCCATCCTGTATCAGGCAAGCAGGCTGCTCCCTTGGCTCCATGGTTGTCCCCCATCAGTAAGTGCAGGAAGTCCCTGTCTTCAGGAATCTGGGAGCCTGGCCTGACCCGTGGCTGTGGTCTCTGTGGGGTAAGATGATAAAGAGAGGCTGAAGCTCTGGAAGGCTCAGAGACACAGGTGGTTCCTGGGGCCCAGGCTGCTCCTCCTGCTCTTGGGCTCCTAGTGGCCCCCCACAGGGGGCCAGGGCAAAGCTGCCCCAGCGGCCACTGTCCCGGATGGTTTGGCCCCAATCTGGAAGACAGTTCACCCTTCTGGGGCTCTCTGCCCAAGGGTGAGTCTCTTCAGCCATGTTTCTAGGAGAAAGGGGGGTTCATGGCAGGGATACCCACTTCCTCCTCCATTCACACGGAGCACAGCAGTATGGCTCCCCTGGGCTCCAGATCCTGGAAGGTTCTAGTCCCGAGGCAAGCCCTGCCCATTCGACTGCCTCATGCCCACTGCCTCTGACTTCACTCGACAATCCCCCCCACCCTGCTCCTGTTCCCTGATGCAGCCCGCAGCTCTTCCGCGCGTACAGTTCCCAGTCAGCTGTGAGGTCCGGTTTCTGCTCAGCGGTTCGAGGGGGAGCACCAGTGCACACATGGGTCTCTACCTGTTCCGTGGCTCCCTGCTGGGGCCTGCAGCTTCCCCCCGGCCGCTGCCACCGCCATCAGCAAGGTGACTGTTACTGGTCAGATCGCAGTGCAGGGTTGGTCCTTCGGTGCCGGGAAGGGGGAGAGGGGAGGGGACCGGGGAGGAAGGCGGCAGGGGTGGCTGGGGCGGCTCCCGCCCGGGGGCACCAGGCTGGTCCCAGGAGGCTGTCCGGGGGCTCAGGCCCCGCTCTGCCAGCTGCCCAGGCTCCGGGAGCAGTCCCCGAGAGGCGGAGGGCCGGGGCGAGGCAGCGCGGGCGGCCGTGGGCTCAGCGCCGGTCTGGGAGCCACGGTGGATGCGGTGGCTGACGATGATGCTGTTGCCGAAGCCACCCATGGAGGCCATGGTGGTGCTCTGCTCCCGCTGCACCACGGCTGTCATGCCCCCTTCCGCCATCAGCCGCTGGATCCTGCTGAGGGCATCTTCCCCGCTTGCACCGGACTCTGAGCCCTCACCTGGAAGGTAGGGAGCACAGGACAGAGGGGGTTCGTGGCTGACCGGGGCCACTGAGGCAGGCAGGCCACCGTGAGGAGGAGCTGGGGGATTCTCTGCCAAAAGCAGAAACGAGAAGAGTCCGACTCCCTCTTTTGGAGGATCAGAGACTTGAAAGCTAGACAAGATTCCCCAAATGGTCGTAATTCCCACTTCTGTTCTACTGGTGGGGAAACTGAGGCTGAGGATGGCATGAGGTGGCCAAGGCCACTCAGCCAGTTAAGAGGCAGAGCTGGACCAGAAGGAGGGCATTTGGCACAAGTGGCAGGCTAGTCACTACATGAACGAAGGTGGCCGGGGTGGACACAGATGGCTTACTTTGTCTGCTGTCTCCCTGTCCGGGAAACTGGGAGACCTGGCCCAGAGAGAGGGCGTGCTGCCTGGTGTGTGGAAAGAGGGGGCAACCCACAGCGTGTGGCCCAAAGGCAAATAGTCTGCTCTGCCTCATTTCAAAGCTGTGCTGTCTTCCCTCAGTGTTGTTCTGTTTACTTCCTAAAAGCCCACGAGAAAGACTGGGTTTTTAACTGTTCCCTAGAAGGCATTCTGTCTCCTCTCTTCCCTCTTTCCGAAACCACCAGCTTTCCCAAGCTGTTTCCCATTTACTGTTCTCCTTGGGTTGCGCTGGATGCCTGATACCCTCATCCTTCCCTGGAGACAGCCAACTGCCCAGGCCTGAGGCTTCAGCCCACATCTCCAGGGAGGGAGAGAAGGTTCTGTTCCTTCCCCAAAGGCCTGGGCATTCCCACTCCCCTTGTGGGGGAGCAAAGGAGGCTCTGGCTCAAACCCATTCTGTGCTCACTAGCTGTGTGACCTTGGATGAGTCCCTTAACATCCACCTTGCACAGTGTGCTGGGCCAAGGAAATGGGGTAATGGGCATGGTGGGCACTTGGCGACGGCTGTGGTGATTAACCTGGGGCCTGGGAGTGGGGCTCCATCCTGAGGGACCCTCCCTCCACCTGTGCTCAGCCCCCTGGCTGACCCAAGCCTGTGGGCAACTACGATCAAGACCCCTGGGGCTGTCAGGGCTAGCACTACCTATCAATTTATTTCCTTCGGCTACTTGCTGGCCAGTTTGAGATTCTGCAGATTTGGGGGCGCTGATGGTGAGGGTTTTTCTTTTTTTGGGTACTTATTGTCAACAGCTATTTTTGTAAGACTTTTTTTTGCTCCCTCCCTGTCCAGTCCCTTTTCTCTGCTTGCCTTGTTAGAGCTGGATTTCCAGCCAGCCAGTTCCACAGCTTCGCGGTGGCTAAGGCCCCATTAGATCTTTCCCTCCTTGTTAGTGCTTGGCAGCCTCACGCCATGGGTCTTCGTCAGGCGCTTCTCTTCAGCACTCAGCAGTGGGGACTCGGCCTCAGCTTTCACTTACGTGCCTGCGGTTTGTGTTTCTCCCCTTTTCTCCCCATCAACGCTCCCCATCCTCCCCCAACCCCCTAAGGCGGCTGCCCTTCCCTGCTTCCCCCTCCGACAGCTCAGCGCCAACTCCCAGGGCAGAAGAAAAGTCTCTGAAGGGCTCTTAGCACTCCTCCCAGGGGGCAAAGCCTTCCAACAGTGGGGCAGAGGGTAAGAGGAAAGGTCAACCAGGGCCTCGGTGCCAGCACAGCTCCTATCCTGTGAGCCCAAAGGGCTGCCTGGCGAGGCCCCCTGGGGACCTCTCTGTGCTCGCTGCCACCCCCACTGCTTTCCAAGAACTTTGTGCACTGAGGGCCTTCCCAGCTGGGTCTGGGATGTGCAGGGTGCTGGCCCGAGGCCTGCTGGCGTTGTCGCTCACTGTGCTGGGCTCTGTGCCTAGCGAACTATCAGCTCTTTTCATGAAGCTCCCTTCCAGGGCCAGGACAGGGCTGCCTTGGGGCCCCAAGGGCGGTGCCACAGCCAGGTCCTCGGAGAGGCCCTCCTGCCCTTTCCCACTGCACCCGTGGCTCTGCCCTTGGCCATGTTTCACCACGACTGTGGCTGTATTTCGTGACTGGGCTTCTTGCTTATCACTTCCCTTTCCACCCAGCCTCCACGCTGCTGCTATTACCATTCTAATAAAGCTCAGATTCACTGAGTTCTAGTTAAGTCCCTAATCTGTTTAAAACCCAGAAATTCCAAGGGCCCTCAAAGTTGTCAAGATGCCTTAGCACGACATTTAAGGGCCCTCTGGTCAGGTCGTAGCCACTTCCCTGAGCATCCTCCCTTCCTGCACCAATGATCTTACCAAAGCCAACGGGGCACTGCGGTGAGCCTGCCTGCCCCTGCTCACACACACTGGGGACACCCTGGGGATGTCAAGGTCAATGTGAATACCACCCCTCCCACCTGGCCTTCGGGGGACCCCAGCTGGGAGTGGCTGCTCTCTCCCTGAGCCCTCGCAGTGCCCCACGCCTCCGTGTGTGTCATCTGTGGCTTGGTATCTTCCTCCTGGGCTGCAGGTCCCTGCAGGCCTCCGAGTAAGTTTTATCCATCTTTGGGTCCGGTGGCTAATGCGTGGTCTTGCCCTTGGTGTCCATCTGGCACGTGAACGTGTGGCTGAATGAAAGGGCTCCCAGGCTGACTACAGGTGCTCCAGACTTAAGGTAGTCTGTGAAACCTGGTCACACGTCACCCTCTGCTGCGCGGGAAGTGCGGAAGCGCTTGTTCCCTTTCTGGGCTTGCTTTCGAAGGAGAAGACAATGCTCTCATCTCTGAAGCTGCTTCCCTCTGCGACACCTTTGGATTCCTGGTGCCTAACACAGTATCAGTCATAAAGTAAGAGCTCCAAAGAGACCAGACGGAAGAAGTTAAGCTGTGCCCGTGGCCGGCTTCCTCACGGCTAGTGCACACAGCTGTGAGCTGAGCTTCTCTCCCAGGGACTCCAAGCCAAGGCTAAGAGCCACTGGAAGCAGCTAGCACATTCTGCAAGAAGAAAACACACTGGAGCCTGAGGGAAAAGGCAGCTGTGGCCGGGGATCCAAGCTATTAGCTCTAGGAGCAGTAGTGGCCACAGAGGTTAATTCTGCTGTCTCCTTCCCTAGCCAAAGCATTTCTTTTTGCCTTTGAAAAATGGGAAATTGAGTTAGTGTTGACAGGATATCTTTTCCTTGGCAAGTTCTAAGGTACTTTCTGAGTGCGGAGGCCAGGATGGGATCAGCAAGTTCCCATAATGCCCTGTAACTGCATTTAATTCTGGGGCTTTCACTGCCCAGAAGAGGGAAGCCAGGCTGAGTGGAAGGGAAAGGAGGAGCTGCCCTTCCTGCCCTCGGGGGACCCGTTAGCCTTCCAGCCCCTCGCTTTCCACCTTTGCTGTTCCCTGGCCCCGGGCCCAGGCTACTGTAGCGGGGCTCTCATCTGCACCAGACAAGAAAAGGCCCAGGCAACCTTTCTCCAGCGGTCAGAGACAGGCAGGAGTGAGCACAGCCAAGCTCAGGGGCAGGCTGCCTTTGCCTTCACACAATCCATCCATTCCACAAACTTCCTGAGTGCCTACTGTATGCCGGGAGGCACTGGATCAGTGTGGAGAGCAAAGAGCGAGCCCAGGGAACGCTCCCCTCCATTTCCGAGTGACAGGGTAGGGAAGCTTTGAAGGTGGACAAGCTAAAAAGCTGATAACTTGCAAAATTCCCGTGGAAGGCTCTTCCTGGAAGTCCTATAAAGAGCTGAAGAGACTTTAATCCAATCTTTAGAGAGTCAGAAAATGAAGAGTGGCCTGGAAACCCTTCTGTGCTGACAAGAAAAGGGCTAAGGGAGGAGGGGCAGCCCCAGAACGTGAGTCAGTCAGGCAGGGCCGTTTCCCCCACTAACCCCCCTGGGCCTCTGGTGTGTAGGGGTGCACAGGCGTTCCCGCCCTGGCCCCACCTTCTAGCAAGGGCCAGGAAAAGGGTCACCTAACTTCACTAAGGGCTTCCTCTACATGTTCCTGCAGCTGCGGCCATCAGTTGGCCAACACGGAGAGAGAGGAACAGGGGTGAGAGTGGAGGCAGCGGTGTGCGGAGCTGCGACACCTGCCTGCTGGATGGGAAAGGTGGGCCAGAGAGCCAGACTCTTGCTTCCTGGTCCCCTGCCTTGCTACCAGAGTGGCAGGAGAGGCTGGTGGTCCGGGGGGGAAGCACCTCAGAACAAGGCTCCTGGCGCCAGGAGAGATGGAGCTGGCCAGTGACATACCTCCCCACCACCCACACCTTTCCCCTTACTTCTGTCTGCGTGAGGGGCTTTCTGAAAGGGACTGGGGTGCTGAGAAGGACTGGGGTGCTGAGAAGGGCTGGGGTGCAGAGCTCCAGGCAAAGGTCATGGGGCCCCAGACCGACGCAGCGAGCTACCTGAGCCCACCCTGCCCGCACTCCAGCGCCGGAGGGCTGTACCTGCCGCAGAGCGCCTCTGGCCTCTGAAGAGCTCCCCCTCCGCCACCTGCTCTCCTCTGGGGCGAGGAGACACGATGGGAATGAGGTGCTGGCCTCTGAAACTGGCCACAACCAACAAAGAGTCATGGGCCTCAGATGAGGATGTGGCCTGGGCCCAAAAAACGGACTCAATTTTTAAAAATCTCCGTTCACGGTGGTGAAGGGACAGCGCCCTGCGTGGGGCTACAGGATGGAAAGCTGCTCCCTGGGAGACACAGGCAGATCTGTTACTCTGCTTCCCGCACACCACGGCTCTTCCTTCTGTGGCCGTTTTTTGAGCAAATGGCTCAACACAGACCCAAAGCATGTGTGTGTGCCTGGAGGCTGCCTTGTCTGAAGCTCCGACCGGCAAGGGGGCTGGGGCGCGGGTAAGGAGAGCGACTGGGTGAGAACAGCTTTCTTAGCACAGCTGCCGACAGACTCCAGAGTGGCTCAAGCTCTACCGCTGGGAAGTGCTAACTGGTTCTCAGAAGTGTGAGGCCAGCACAGAGCCAGGGCTGAGGCTGGCCGAGCCACGCCTGAGGAAGGTGAAGGAAGGGGCTGCTGGTGTGCCGGCCGCAGCCAGAACGGCAAGGAGCCATGGGTATAACCGCGGCTCGACAAGCTACCCTGTGGGTCAGCCCCGAAGCCCAGGCCCCGCGTGCCCAGGCCCCACGTGCTCGTCCCAGAACAAGAGCCTGTGGCACTGAGTCTCTCCTGCAGGCTCTTCCGTATCTAGGCCACTTCCTGTGTGCTCTCTCTGGAAGAACAGCCTGGATCCTCCAAGTTTTACAGAAGAGGGCGGTCAGGGTACTTGGTGGGAGCTGAGCAGAGCTGTACGAGCAGCTCAGCCTGCTGGGAACAATGAGCCAGATCAGGGAAACGCTGTTCCTGCCTGAGGACGCTCCTCGCGCCACCGGGGGAGCGTTCCCAAGCAGGTAAGAGGGTACTCCTTTGGAGAGGGGAGGGCCCTTTCTCAGCACCACTTGTCTCTGCGGAGGGGCCAGGAGGGGTGAGAGGACCCCCCCCGTCGTAATTCCCCTCTAGAATTATGTGACTCTTACCTTCCCCAGGACCCGAAGCCGCTGTCCCCGGCTCCTGTAGCTCCCTCTCTGTCTGCGTTTCGGCATTCTGCAGCTGAAGGGCCAGAGTCTGGGTGCCCTGAGATGTCACGGAGGTGGCGGGGTTCCGGGGCTGCAGCCCAATGGCGTTCATCAGACCCATGTCTCTGTCTGTCCTCCATGCAGCTCTGCTAGTTCTAGGTGGGGGAGAGGCAGACAGAAGTCAGGCAGGGCTTGGGACAGCACGCCTCCCAGAGTCCCACCTGTTCCCCACCGACCCTCAGGGCACAGCCCCCTGGAGCAGAGGCCACAGGCTCCAAAGACAAGCCCTGTGCTCCTGCGCTCCCTCCCGACGGCAGGTCATGCCTCTGGATCAGGCCAAGCTCTGGGACAATGAGAGGAGGCTGCAGAACCACCCAAGTTTGCAAACCAGCTAGTTCTGTCACTCCCTTAAACAGCGAGTGTCTTTCTGGGGAGGGAGAGGTGGCTGATCTTAAGACTCTTATTTACATTCAGGAAGCCACCAGCTGACATTTGTGGGACAAAGGGTGAGCAGCAGCAGAAGGACCTTTCCTCTCTTAGCTTTTCCTTCCCTCTAACTATATGCTGACAGGATTCTAGTTTAAATTCTTGGAATCTTCCCTGGCTCTCCACTTTGGAGGAAAAGCCCTTCTGGACTCCTTCAGGGCCTTCCCACAGCAGGTCCTTGAAGGCAGGCAGCACAAGCTGACCTGGGAGCAAGGCCCAGGCCCAAAGCCGGCAGCCCTCTTCCCTTGGGCATTTCCCCAGGTGCCAGCCCCTTGGGAGAGCTGGGGCTGGCAGCAGAGGGAGCCCAGGACTTCCGTGACAGGCACCAGCCACTCCTTTCTAGCTGCTTCTGGGGACTGTTCCTCTAGCTGTGCCCTATAATTCCTCTAGGAAGCAGCGATTGCCTAAGGTGTATTACTGACCCAGCACTTTTTGTCAGAATGTTCCAGTCTTCATTAATAAATTAAGTGATAAGTGGGTCGGTACCAGGTTTCTACTCTCTGGCCCCTGAGGAGGGTTTGTCCCTGGGCTACAGCTCTGAGCAGCTTGGTCCCCGAGGCCCTGGTCACCTGCAGCATTGTCCGCAGATTCTCCTTGGGCCACAAGCACAGTTCTTGGGGACAGCATCCCTCCCTAGTGCTGTCTTCTCTCCTTACCCCAGTGTGCCCAGACACCATGGCCAGGATGGGAAAGGGCCACAGGATGTCCTAGTTTGTTCTCAATCAAGACTCTAAGAGCAGAGGTTTTGTTCTCTTCCTCAGCCATAGAATGCTTTTCTCAAATGAAACTGCAAAAGCTCAATGCATGAAGCAGATCAAAGAGGAGCTGCTGTGGCTGAGGAGAGGCACCCAGAGAGCCCAGAGCAGTCCGGGGGCACTGCTCGAGAGCCCATCTGAAACAGGAGGAAGGGACAAGCCTCCCTCCTGCAGCTGTGCCCTCCTCCTTCCCAAACTCACCCAGGCCTTTCACTGCTCCTGCTGCTGGAGTGGACCGTGAAGACAGTCTCGTTCAGCTGGTCCCAGTAGTACTCAACACCAGAGTTTAAGGCCCTGAAAATCAGTTGGGAAGGGTGGAGGAGAAAAGGTGGAGAGCATTAGAGAAAGAAGGGCCAGAACTCCTTCCACCTCCTGGGCTTTGTGGACTGTGGCCCGACAGCCCTCTTTAGTCTCTCCTGGGGCGGAGCTGAGACCAGGACGCTCAGTACTGGAGCAATGCGGACGACTCTCCAACAGCCCAAATGCCTGTAGTGGTGGGTTTTTAGTCTCTTCCTTCCTCTGAACAATGCCTAACAAGCTCCTCCTTGGGCCTGAGAGATAGCTAAAGAATAGCCACCCTATCCGTAGGCAGTGGGTTAAGTGTTCTTCAGACATAAAGAAAGGAGCTAAGATGGCAAATGAGAGGCTGGGGAGGCCCTGGAGAGACAGGGTGCCATAGACAGCCCCACCTAAAGTCTGGACTTCGTGCTCCGAAACGGAGAAAGCATAGGCTCTTGCCACTGGGTCTTCCCTACTGCCATGGGGCAGGCAGGAAGGAAAATGAGGCACCTTACCATTCTCAGTTCTCCCACTGCCAACCCTGCCCTGCTTCCTCCTTTCCCTGTAATGGACCATTAAGCCGTTTCTTCTAATCGCCCATGGGCACTGCTACCAGAAGGGAAGCAGTGGCTTCTCATGTTTCTATAATGACCTACAAAGCCACCCCAGGCAGCAATCTTGTTACACAGACTGCTTTGCTTTTAAGGATTCCTTCCTGGAAGAGGTGTTACCTAGCAGTCACTGTGGTTGAGGGTGGGGTGCTGGTGGTGAAGGTGGGGACAGGAGATGGGGAAGAGGTGTCTGAGCCCATCAGAACTCTGGTGTCCCTGGGGCGTCTGGCTGGCTCAGTTGGTAGAGCATGGGACTCTTGATCTCGGGGTCGTGAGTTTGAGGCCCACGTTGGGCACAGACCTCACTTAAAAACAAAACAAGGGCGCCTGGGTGGCTCGGTTGTTAAGCGTCTGCCTTCAGCTCAGGTCATGATCCCAGGGTCCTGGGATCGAGCACCGCATCGGGCTCCCTGCTCAGCAGGAAGCCTGCTTCTCCCTCTCCCACTCTCTCTGCTTGTGTTCCTGCTCTATCTCTCTATCAAGTAAATAAATAAAATCTTTCAAAAAAACAAAACAAAACAAAACTCTGGTGTCCCTCTGGAGACTGAAAGAGATACTCAGAACAGCCGGCTTGGCTCCTAAATGGGAGGGGGCACCCACACGTGCTTGAAGAACCGTATCCCCCCCCCCCCAGTCCAGATATTGGAGCCCTATACCCACCCCAGTGTGACTGTAGCTGAAGAGAGGGTCTTTAGGAGGTAATTAAAGTTCAGTAAGGCCATAAGGGTGGGACTTGAATCCAAAAGGACTGTGGCTTTATAAGAAGAGTACAAAAGTGGGGTGCCTGGCTGGCTCAGTCAGTGGAACATGCAACTCTTGATCTTGGGGTTGAGCCCGCGTTGGGTGTAGAGATTATTTAAAAAAAAAATTTTTTTTTTAAAGATTTTATTTATTTATTTGACACAGGGAGACACAGTGAGAGAGGGAACACAAGCAGGGGGAGTTGGGAGAGGGAGAAGCAGGCTTCCCACGAAGCAGGGAGCCTGATGCGGGGCTCGATCCCAGGACCCCAGGATCATGACCTGAGCTGAAGGCAGACGCTTAAAGACTTAGCCACCCAGGCGCCCCTATTTAAAAATTTTATTTAAAAATAAAATCTCAGAAAAAAGAAGAAGAAAAAGAAAAAGAAGAATAAGAAAGAGATCTCTCGCTTTCTCCACCATGTGAGGACGCAGGAAGACAGCCCTCACCAGAACCCAACCCTGCTGGCTCCTCATCTCAGACTTCCAGCCTCCAGAACTGTGAGGAAATAAATTTCTGTTAAGATCCCCCAGTCTGTGGTGTTCTGTAACGGCTGCCCAAGCTAAGACAAGCTCCGACAAAAGCCAACTTTTTAATCTAGAGGCCTCAGCCATCTTCCTTTAATGGCAGAACTTCTTCAACAAAAAGCAGAGAAATCAAAGCCAGTGGGTCATGAGGGAAAGGCCAGCTGGGGGCGCGGGGCGGAGTGAAGTCAGGATTAGCCAGGATGGGCACCGGACAGGGCCTGGCTGACAAGGGACCACGTGTCAGGAGGCTGTGCTACTGCAGGTGAAGGGGAACAGGCCTAGGCTGGAACCCCTCATCTGTCTCTCGAGGGTCATGAAGATTCTGGGGACTGGACTTCACCTGAGGGCACGCGAGTGTCTTTGGAGGGAAAGAGCCACAGCCAAGCACAGGTGCTCTTCCTTCCCTGTCTGGTCTAACCGCTCCTGGCTACCCCCGGGGGCCCGCAGGGCTGCGGATTTGGTGTGATCTTCTTCAGACCATCCCTTTAAAAAGGAGCAGCTCCTTCCTCTTCAGAGCATTCAGCTATTTTTGTGGGTGTTGTCTGAGAAGAGCAGGGGCACTGCAGGGCAGGGGAGATAGGAGAGGACCTTCCACAACGGAAGAGGCAAAGGGCCAGAGGTCAACAACAGAGGCCTCCAAAAACAAAGCCATCATTGCAGAGTTTGCTGAGCAAATCCTGGCTGCATGAGGCCCCATGTGAAGCCAGCTGCCAGGGAGCCTCTGATTTACAAACTTGTCAAGATTTATTGACAGGTGGCAGTACCATCTGGGGCCCTGCCAAATCCTTCCTCTAATTCCTGCTAGCCAGGGCCGGTTAGCGACAACAAACTGTCCACACTAGACCTATGCTGAGCCATGAGCTGCACGACCAGGAACCTTCCCTTCCAGTCTCAGAAGACAGGCCACCTGAAGGCCCACTCTCTGGGCTGGGACTGTCAGCATGATGCTGACGATCAAAGGGTCCCCTCAAACACTTTCCATCTGGCAGCATGCAGTGTCAGCTCAGAGCTGTGGATTCAGGACATTCAGTGATGAGGTCGACGGCCAAGCAGCACGAGACAACGGAGTCTGGCAGATGTGCTTCTCCTGCCGCCCCCCCCATCCTTTCTGCCCCCCACCAACAGGTCTACTGGAGCCCGGACCTGTTCTACTTTCTGTGGTCAGAGCAGCTTGACTACAACAAGCTCGTGTTTAAAGTTTGGTTAAAATTCCAGGTACTGGACCAAGGATCAGACCTGAAGACACCCTGTCTGGCGACTAAAACTCTTAGCCTTCAATACCCGGTATCATTGATTTCTGTCTACAAGCTGAAGAATGCTCCCAACTATCTCTTTTCTCCTTGGGTCTTAGTAAGGATCAATGAGTCACTGTTAGCTCCGGGTTCTTCCTGATAGCCAGGCAAACACACAAAGGGCTGAGGAAGCACGGGTAGGCCGAGCAGGGTCAGCCTTTTCAGAGGGACTTACTTCCACTTCACCCTAGGCTTCCTTCAGCACCATCTGTAAGCTGTGCTTCTGGGCTGGGCTCAGTGACTCCCTCACACCTGGGACCTTCTGGGGCTGCCTGAACATAGCTAGGAGCTGTCCTAGCTTTCTCAGTGGTGACCACGCTCTCATGCAGATTATGGTTCCGATCTTCTCAATTTTTTTTTTTTAAGATTTTAAGGAATCTCTACACCCAACATGGGGCTCGAATTCACAGCCCTGAGATCAAGAGCTGCATGCTCCACCGACTCAGCCAGGCAGGCACCCCTGAACTTCTCCACTTCTAGGGAATATTCCCTTTGAGAATATTCTTCTTTCATCTATCACTTACATACTATTTGGAAAGAAGGACGGGCATTTATCCCCACTATCCCTGCAACGTGGGAAAGAGTTGGCACCTGGCTCTTGTGGGACAGCCGGAAAGATGAAGTCTCTGTGGCTCCTCTTTTGATTGAGGCGTGTGCCTTTCTCTTCCTTGGTCAGTGATGCTTGATTGCAATCACTGTTTACAGAGGTAGCTTCCTCTTAAGGGACAGAGCTGGGGCCTTGTCAGGGGTGCCACACTCAGCCAGGGGGCCAGATGCCCCACAGTCCTGGCCTAGTTTCTTCTGGCATGAGTCCCTCAATTCTGTCTTCAGAGCTGACTCTGAGAAGCAGTGGTCTTCCCAGCAACACCTCCCCCCCATTTGTAGGGCTGATCTATGAAGCCGGAAGTGAGCAAGCACCCCCTCACATCAATCTGGTACTTCACACCCACTATGGTTATTGGTGGGGGTGTTGGCTGGCCTGGCAGTCAGCCAGAGGCACAGCAGCAGCTTGGGAGGAGTGACGGGGCGGGGGGGTGGGGGTGGGTGGGTGGAGCAAAGCAAAGGAGAAGGGAGGGCCTCACTGCTAGGAAGGGTGGGGTGACCGGGCTACCAGCCACCCTAATGGCTTTGCACAGGGGCTACAGGGCTAGTGTTCGTCTCCTCGCCTGTCATCAGAATGTGGTTCCCTAGAGCGATGGGAGTATTTCCTGAGGCCCTTCTTCTACTATCAGTGGGATTTTAGTACCACCAAAAGATGCCCAAGGGGCTTGTGACCTCTGTCTGTGCTTGGAGAGAGTGCAGAGGCTAAGACAACAGAGGAGAAATCAAGAGGCAGACAGAGAGCAGGAAGCGGGGTGCAGCTGCCGGTGTCGGCGGACGAAGGCAGACAACCACCTGTTCTGGGGGGAGGGCTGTAACCCTGGCCAGCCGGCTGCTGTGCCCTCGGGAACAGCTGTGCCAGAGCTCTGTCACCAGGGGAAGGGCGGTGAGCCTCAGGCCAGCTGCCTATCTACCGGAGAGACAACAACGCTGAGCTCCTACTGTCCTATTCGTTTGTTCTCCTTGTTCTAGGCCAGAGACCAACCACAGACTGTTCAAAAGATGTGAACATTCTCGCTTCTCCTCTCTCATTTCCCTCCGTGTCAATCACCTGACCCTCTTCAATGCCTCAACGTGATCTAGAGCTGCATGTTTTACCTGAGGTCTTAAGAGAGCAATGAAATTGGATGTTCTTGTGGTATATTTTTCTGTGGAAGAGCGTACATGGTTTCCATCAGAATTTTATTTATTTATTTATTTTTTAAAGATTTTATTTATTTGACACAGCGAGAGAGGGAACACAAGCAGGGGGAGTGGGAGAGGGAGAAGCAGGCTTCCCACGAAGCAGGGAGCACGATGCGGGGCTCGATCCCAGGACCCTGGGATCATGACCTGAGCCGAAGGCAGACGCTTAACGACTGAGCCACCCAGGCGCCCCCATCAGAATTTTAAAGTTATTCATGATAGAAAAAAGGTTAAAAAACCAGCTGTAGGAAAGAGTGCGGAACTAGAAAGTCAGGAAGCCTAATTCTGTCACTGATCTATCTGCTGGGAGGCCTGGGCTGAGTCTTCCCGTCTTTACCTGAATACTGCTCCATCTTCCCTGCCTGAAGCCAAATCCCACAGATACGAAGGGGACTGAGAAGCGGAGAAGCTGTGAACAACTTAGGACAAAGTCATGTCTGTCTTAATTTACATGGTTCCCTCAAATATGCAGCCCTAAGATTTGGGGCATTTGCCAGAATGACCCAAGAATTCAGGAGAAACAGCAACCCCACACAGGCAGGCCAAGCTAGCTCTCCCTCGGGCCAACGCGACTTGGTCTGTGGTGGGCCACTGTTGGTGGTGTCGACTGCTAGTGCCCCCTTGATCGGGGAAGAGGCCTGAGTTCCTGCGGCTACGCTCCCCACGCAGTCCAGGATGGCTCCAGCCTGCTGACGCTGGATGTCGCAGACGACATATGGGAGACAAGAGAGAAGAGAGGCCAAAGCCAGCTTCATGTTTGGCTGAGGTGTCTGTGACTCACACCAAGTGCGGAGGCCGGGTTTCAGACATAAAAGCCTTTGAGGGACCACGACGAACTGGAGGTAGGGATTCTGCCTCTGTGGGAGCAGGTCAATTTTACAAGGGAAGGGGATGGGAGTCTGGCTGGGACAAAGGTTTAGTGGCTGGAGCTACAGACAAGACAATGTTGAGGAAGGATGTCTTGGAGAAACAGGGAAAGAAAGGCCTGTAAACTACAGTGTTGGTTAAGAATAAAATTATGGTCCAGAATTCTGTGCCAGTTTTGGAAAAGATGCCTATCAGAGTCCTCTTATGAACTCCTAAGAGGGTGAGATAAGATAATCAGTCTCGTGTGCTCTGGGGAAAAAGAAAGCGCTCAGAGCAGACTGATCCCAGGACTATGGTCAGGCCAGAAGGAGGGCAGAAAAGGACAGATCCAGCGCCAGGACTAACAGCGGCACAGTCGCCAAGGAGGCTGGTTTGGTTCTGGAAAGGCACGAGCAGCTAGTGAGGGGGGCCCTCTGGACACAGAACCTGAGGAGAGTGCAGCTGGCAGAACCGCGGTCGCAGACGGCAGCCTCTCTTTGGGAGGGGTTCCAAAAATGCAGGATAGGATGAAAGAGCTGCCCTTAGAATTGGGTTTCCTTTCCCCTGAGCCACTGACCCAGCTCAGCTGACAAGGGCTCAGTCACCAGTCACCTACCAGGCACAAGAACTGACCCAAATACACACCCTAGGAAAAATCACCAAAGGCCCTATCAAAAGGCAATGCAGACACTTCCAATAGCCAGAGACCCTACCAGAGCAGTCACGCCATGCTCTGTGATCCACAGAACACCCCTGGAGAAGACTCTGCGCCAAGTGAAGGACAGCATTAGGACGGCGTGGAGGCAGAAGTGGCATTTAGTCGGCTGGAACCCTGCGGCGGCCCACGCAGCAATCAGCCTGATCTGCACTGAAGCACAGAGCTTCACGTGCCCCACCTGGCTGGGTCTGGAAATTGATGACAGACCTGGCTGACTCCCAGGGTCTCAAGTGAAAGAAGAGACCTCTATCCTCCACAACACCAGGGGAAGGGGAAGGGGTGTCATCAGGACCCAGGACAGAAGTGTCCCCTCCTATCCCCTACTTCAAGACCAGATAACAAGCATTTTGATTCTAAATGGAACTTTTCAATTTGCCTTCACTGTTACGAAGCGCAAGCAGAAAGGAAAACAGGCAGGACACAGAGCCAGGCTGCTAGAGATCAGTGGCCTGACAAATTAGGGCTTTAACAATACTCTATTTCCAATTTTATTTCTTAAGTTATGTCTGTGGCATTTACACAAACCTAAGACCACCTGTTGAATTTTTCAAAAGGCGTTTAGAAAAGAATCTTTGATATCTATGCTTTTGCCTGCAGAGAAACTTTACTATCAATAGGTAACCAGAGAACAAGAGAAAACAAAGGGAAAAAATACTGCCTAAAATTTAAGAAGACATAATAACTAAACCAGTCTTTTGAAGATTTCTGGGACAGAGAGCTAACCCTAGCAACCCTAAGTGAAAAGTACCCTTTATGGAGTGACGCAGAGAATGAGGCAGGCTCTAGCAGAATTTCTATTTCCCATCTACAAGACCCCACCTCACGGCCAGACCCACAGATGATGCCGATTACTCCCGTCCTCGGCCTGGATGACCCCCTCCCGCCCACGCTGCCGCCCACCCTAGGCCACTCACTCTGGTCGGCAGATCACCAGGTCTCCTTTGTTGGTACCATAGGCCAGGCCAAGCCCTGGCTCGGGCAGCCAACGGGCAGAGTTGATGCTGACATGTCTCCGCTGGTCGGCAGGCATGGGGTAAAGGACGTTGAAAACTCTCTGGGTGGGGGAGAAAAGAGGGAAGAAAAGAGAATTCGAGGAGAAAAATTTGTTACCAAGAATAACAAAGTCCCTTCTATGGCCGGAAGCAAGTTAACCACAGGGAGGAAAGAAGGCCTCTTACACATACTGGCAAACTTGGGAGGCTGGGGCCCTCTTACTTTAGGAGGAAGGCTACAACTCTCTCAAGCAAGACTAGGGCACACTTGGGCTTTTCTGCAGGAAGCTTGCTTGTGCGCTCCTTACAGCCTTTTAGCTCTTTTCATGGCTTTAAGGCAGCCCCCTGGAAAGGCAGTCAGAACTCTGTTCACCAGAAAGGCCTGCCCCTAACTTTCCCCTGACCAGAAAGACCAGTGAGAGTCAAGCTCAACTGGGAGTCCCGTTACCATGGCAATCACAGCTCTCACAGCAATGGGGAACTGAAGGTGATAGGGGGGCGGGAGGGGGTGAAAACACCAGAGAACATTCTTAATTCATCTAATTAAAAGCAATGTTAAAACTGCTATTGTTAAGGAAACCTAAAAGGTGCACTAAGATGTAGGAAGCAGGGGAGAGGGGGATCTTGAACCAGGTACGTGATTTCTTTCTAGCTTATATAAATCGCCATTAAATAGATCGTTTCCATTTCTCCAAGGGAGAGAGTCCCCTTCAATAGTCGGCTTGTTTCCAAAGCTACTATTTTCTCAGGAGGCAGCTTAGCTGTGGCTAGGGTTTGGACCGGAGGTGAAAGAAAACCTCCGATCTCTCTGGCCACTGAGCTGCACCCTATTCCACAGCAACTTTAGTCAGAGACAGGGGCAGGGCAGTGGGAGAATGAAGGATGAAGACTTCCTTTCGAGTCAGAAAGCCCTGGGTTGGAGTCCTGACACCACTTCTCTAGAATAGTGACATCTCCAGATCTCAGTTTAAAAAGAGACCGCACTTGGGGTGCCTGCGTGGCTCAGTCAGTTAAGCATCTGACTCTTGATCTCAGCTCAAGGTCATGAGTTCAAGCCCCACATGGGCAGGAAGCCTACTTTAAAAAAAAAAGAGAGAGAGAGACAGCACCAACAGCCAAATGACTGGAGAGATGAAAAGACATGTGTAGAAAATGCCTGGCACAATGCAAGCTCACTGCTTAATAGCTGTTGCTGTTATTACCAGGAATCTGCACCTGGGGCTTTAAAAAAGGTCGTTAGGGTCTATGAAAAGGAGAAAGCCAAGAATCTATAAACTGGGGTTTTAGTCAAGGTTTTCCCTTTTGGCCTCTTCAGGCTTTAATCTGTAAAACGGGGATGAACTACATCTGCCTTTCCCTGCCCCCTGATGGAGGGAAAAAAATGGGAGACCAAACGAGATGTGGTTCAGAAAGTAATATTCAAAAATGAATTTAGGGTGGTACAATAATTATTACTTTTCAGATTACCTGGATGAGAGATTTAAAATTCAAAAAAAAAAAGGAAAGAAAGGACATAAAAACTGGCTAAGGGTCCACTGCACGTACACAAATGAAGTGATAAGCCCTGGATGCGGGAACGCTTGTTCATGTGCCTTGGGCATCTACCTGAAAGGCCTTCCCCGGGACGGGCTCTAGAATGGAGCGCAGAGCAAGCAGCACGAGTTCTCAACATCCTGACACCTACACAGAGAAGCCTGTTGTGACGATTTCCCAGGCTTTGTGGTGCTGAGAAATGTGCCTGGGCAGCCGGTGGCACGTGCCAGAACGGCCCTGCGCCGTCCGGAAGTTGGATGGGTCTCTTACACATAAGGAACTGGCTCTCTTTTGAGGCATAAGGCTGACTGCCCCACGGCTGCCGCTTTAAGAACCTCCCCCGCCCTCCCTTTCTGTAACTCCAAATGTAAGAATGAGCAAGAATCTTTTGTGTAACTGAGGAGACTACTGAAAAAGAGCCCAATGGAGTTTATCAATTTCTAAACTAGTCATACAGAACGTGGTTGCTTGACCTTCGGATCGTCTCTTCCTTGCACATATGAATCAGGGAGGCGCCTCCAACAAACCTCCGCTACTACTCTCTTCCAGCCTCGATGGCCGACTCTCCATGAAGATGGCAGCGCCTGCCTTGCTCTGCGCACCTCATCAACCCTTTTCCTTCACATCAGGGGCTGGGCTGTGGTGTCTTTACCCTTTCTCACAGAGGTTTTCCTTCCCAGAAATCAATGGTTTCTGTCCCCCCAATAGGTCAGATGGTTAAATATGAGTTGACATATACACTCAGAGGACAAAGTGGCTGGGATCTAACCAGTGTGGCCAGTGTGGCCAGGATCACTGACTGTTTAATTTTCCTTCGCCTCAAGGGTCGGTGGCATGAGTGAGGGGACACCCAGGGTTAATTAAGGAGGGATGTGTATTAATCTCAGTGGGTTGGGCGAGGGGAGCTTTGGTCTTGGCCTGTGGCGGCCCTACAAAGCTTCACAAAGGAGTCTCACCTAAAGTCATGATAATTCATAACTTCAGGGAGCTGGGCAGAGAAAGTAGCCATGCAAGAAGGGGGATAATAAGGTTAGTAAAATAGATGCTTTAAGGTTGTGCCGAGTTTTTTGATGGAGGTCTCAAAGAAAAGCTAAGAGAACTCTTCTAGAAATGTTCCAGACCAGTAAAGAAGCAAACAAGCCTCTCACATGTCACATATTTACCTTTTATAGTTGCTGCAGAGAAAATAAGCAAATACTATCAATTTGCTTCTAAGTACAGGAACCGACTTTAGAGACAAAACCCTCAAGAGACCAGTATGATGGATGACCAAGCTCAGGTGAGACAAGGTCAGATGGACAGGGGAGAGGTCATTAAAGGTTGAGACCCCCAGACCTTGCTGCACAGATATTCACAACCTCCATGACTATAGTAGTCATGGCGCACTGATTTGTCCTCGGACTATGGCAGTCCCCCCTGGTCCCTGACCCCTGTCAAGTCCTTAAACACCGTTGAAAGGGCAACTCCCAAGTGCCCGTCTCCTCCTATGTTTGGGTATTAAGACTAAATCCCGCTTTGTGGCAGGAAGCCAGAAAATGCCACGTGAGGATCAGCAGCCTCCAGGACTCCTGATAAGCACTTGCTTGCTTATCACACTCTAATACGGGGGTGGGAAAGAGGGAGAGGAGAGCAAAACATATGGGGGGTGGCTAATGAGAGCACAGAGGATGCCGGATGGGCAGAACACTGCTTTACAGTCCTGAAGAGGCCATCCAGTCCAATACTCCTGATTCACACATGCCTGAAACTCAAGGAGCCCAGAGGAAGGAGAACCTGGCCCATTTTCAGAACCATCCAGAGATGTAGTTCCCACTCTGTTCTCTGGCCGGAGCTCTCAAAGCACCTCATCGAGGGGGGTATACGCCTCACAATTAGTCAGTCCTAGCGACAAGAAGAGTATCTGCTCAAGAAGTTTCCCAATGTGGACAGGAGGTTCGGTAGCTCTGGCTACTCCCACACCATTTAGGGTTTCGGCCAGCAGTCTTTCCAACCCAGTGACTCAGGGAGCAGTCTCCTCCCAGACGCCAGTGGGGACCAGCCCTGGCTCTGTAAATTCAAGGTTCATCTGCACTGACAAGAAAGAAGATCTGAAACAGTGTTAAGGGACGGCTCTGGCCTTCCCTTAAAGGCACCCCAAATATATCTCAAGTAAAGGTTTCCTTAACACTCGTCCAGGACAAAACCGGGTGGGCCTGCCAAAAATCCCTCTCTCCCTTCTTCCCCATGAAGCTGTACCACCGAATTCCATGACACTGGAGGAGGATTATCCGGATGTGGGGACCCTCTGTGGGCCTGGATGGAAAACCCCGCTGCTGATTCATGTTGGCAGAGTCCTAGTTTCACCTGTCTCGGCTACAGCTGCTCCCTGGTAGATGACAAATGCTGACAGTAACCCCCCTCCCCAAGCAGACTGTTCTCATTTCTGTCTAACATCCATGAAGGGAACTGGAATCAATATGCTAGAAGGAGACTCAGTGCAGTCTCAGCACGTCACCAGGGAATGAGTCAGGTCGCCAAGATCTTTACGGTTCCAAGGGAGTGGGAGAAGATAACGATTCTTCCACTTCTGGGGTCCAAGACCATCTCTCGTACCCCTTGCCCTTCCATCCCTCAAACTAAGAGCAAGTAGGAGCAAAAGAAAACAGCTTCCAGGGGCGTCTGGGTGGCTCAGTCCTTAAGTGTCTGCCTTCAGCTAGGGTCATGATCCCAGCGTCCTGGGATTGAGCCCCGCATCCGGGCTCCCTGCTCAGCAGGAAGCCTGCTTCTCCCTTTCCCACTCCCCCTGCTTGTGTTCCCTCTCTCGTTGTCTCTCTCTCTGTCAAATAAATAAATCTTTAAAAAAAGAAAGAAAACAGCTTCCAGATCAAAACTAAAGAGGTCTTGTTTCTTGTTCAGAGGTGGACAGGAAAAGAATGAGAGGCGACCAGAGTTGCTCACTGGGAAACCTTCCTCTCCACCCTCTTAAAATTTAGAGGAAAAGTATTGCTGCCCTCAACAAGATGTTTTCTTTCCGGCTGCATAGCAATAAAGCTCAGACCATTAGTCCAAGCAGCAAATGGCACTGTTCAGATCAGCTCAGTTAAGAAGCTGAAAGAAAAAACTTTGTGGTTATCTTGTTTGGGTTTGGGAAGCTCATCATCTGTAAAACTGGAATGGCTCCACGGTGGCAAGAGGTCGCGTGCACTCAGCAGATCTTCCCTGTTTTAACTAAGACAATGGAAGCTGGTGGTAGGGGACAACTGGAAACTGAGGCTGGAAGGCCCACGAGAGAAGGCACAAGCTAAGGGGGCTGTGAGGGAAAAAGGACATGTGAAGAGGAAAAATGCCTTATTGGTAATGATGGAAATCGGGGAGGCCTTAAGCTTTTAGAGAGGGTTACTAGAGGAAAATTAACTCTCTGGAAAGAGGGAGAAATCAATGGGAAGGAGATACTAAGAGACAGCTGACCTTTCCATTGGAAATGGATGGCTACACATCTTGTCAGAGGCTGAGAAATGTACACTTCCCAGAGCAGGGGGGGGGAGAGACT